CAAAAAGGCGACTTCTCGGGGCGAGAGGAAATCGATTTTTACATTCCACTGCAGATGGAGCGACTCCCAGTTCCAGATAATGAGTGAAATTTCCTCCTCGAATGAATTGACTTCTCTCGCTCAGTCATTACAACCCCCCCAAAAAAAGTCATCAGATGATTCCGCCAATTCCCTTCGCTGCGGGCACGCCAGAAGCTCGGGGAAATCAGAAAATGAAATCAGGGACTTTGGCGGGGAAAAATTAAAAAGTTGAACAGCCGGAACAAAAAATTGAAATTTTCCTCTGCAATTTTCCACTCTGTCATAATGGAATTTTATCATTTCCGCCCCGGAGTGAGTCTTCCGACCGCCCGGCAGTGCGTGGCGCCGCCAACCCTCTCGAGGAGGGCACTTTTGGGGTGCCCCTCGGCATAATTTGCATGACACATTTATATCGAATTAATTTCGCCATGACTAATTAACGGCTTGGAGTGGTTTATGGTGTCATTATGTTGGCTACTGGAGCGGTCGTGATGCCGGAACAAACATCCCCCGCGCGCGCGAAAGGGGTTGGAAAGAAGTCGTGGCCCCCTGCGGATGTTGGAATTTTAATGACACCGCGGATGGACTTTCACGAGAATTCATTCTGCAAAATTACGCGTGATGAGAAATTAAGTCCATACTTTTAGTGGCGGCCGGAGGACACAAGTGGGAAAGACGGCAAAAACGAGGGGAGATTCCGGTGTGATAAATATTTTTGGACACACTCCCTGACACACGGAAGTGGTAAATTAATGACTCTTGCAGCCATATACTTGTTCTAGGTCAGCACACGCACCACTCGAATCAGCAGCAAATTGATTTTATCAATAAATCCAATACAATTCACACCAAACGCGATGTCTGACAAAAACTCCCCAAAAGCAAACTCTTGGGACAAACCACGCTGAAAAACTCTATGGAAACACCATAATTATGGGAAAATGCGGCAAAAAGATCCTCTATTATGGCAATTTTCTCTATTCTTTTCACACAAATTTTGAAAGCTCCTAAAGCTTTCCTATCATTTTTGTGGTAATTATTAAGTACTTTTAAGAAATATTACGGAACTAAATCACAGAATTACAATAATTGCGATACAAAAGCCTCCCTTAAAAGCCCATATGATTTGTCGTGCATTTTTCTCAGTCCCCTTGTGAAATTGAACTAAGCATTGAATGATGTTTAAATGTCTTTCTATTTGTATTTCAATTTATAAATATATTTTTCTCCTCTATTCTCCGTACTATATATTTGTTATTGCACACTGTTCATACGTTTTTACTACAGTTTAGTTGACAAACCTCTCTGTGCGACATTTAATGAGCTCGCAATTAAAGTTGGAGCTTTTGTGCACAATATAACACCGTTTTCCGCAACATCACTCATAGTTTGAATGACTTTTCAAATACAAAGCATGTCAGTTGCTTCAAATTCACTCTCAACTGTCACTGGCAATCAACACTTCAACTGTTAATTTAATTGGATATTGATAAACTCTCAATAGCCTCTAAACTCTTTTGTACAACAAATTATCGCGCAATATCCATCGTTATCTTCCACGCGCGCAATTATTTTTTCCTTCAGCAGATTGTAATTAAATTAATTTTTCATATTGAAACTATTGAAAAGTGAACTCAGCAGCAGGACAAATTTCTCTCTGCCCTGCGCAATTAATATTTGAAGAGCTCACTTTTGTTAATTGCTAAAGTTCTCTAATGCGATAAACTTCCTACACGGTCTTCCCTCGCCACCTCTTCGTCGTAGGTTTTTTTTTTCGCTGTAATGTTGTTTTTCATTTCTTCAAGAAGTCTCTCGTCGTTAATTATTTATATCCCGACCACATCTTCTTCCCTTTAGCCGCTTGTGGTTTGGAGTGTGCGCCAAGCATAGGAAAGAGTTATACGGATGGATTTAAGCTGCACAATGTGAGGAGAGTCAATTGAGGGAAAAATGTAATATGCGCGTTTTGTATCAATTTGCATAAATGCTAAATACACACCCCAGGGTTGGCTGGCTATATAGCACGGTGTGTGTGTGGTGGGAAAAACCCATGCAAACATATCAATTTTCTCCGGTGCCGCCGACCGCACGATGATTTCACACTGTCTAGGAAACAAAACACACCTTCACCCTTATCCAGAGGCGAGTTGGAAAAACTCTCCCCGCTAAAGTGATAGTTTATAAGCCCTCGTATGCTAATTTTATTGGCCACTGGCATGGAATACCGCCGCCGAAAGGATTCCCAGTGAGAGGACGACTGTGCCTCCTCACCTCCTGTGCGCCATAATTGCTAGCCATGCCGTATTTACCTGGGAAAACTGCAAACCACTTTATCTCTGGCTATTGTGCTCACACTTAACTATTTCAACTTATCGCCCCATCCGAAGGATGGTCTTCAGGCAGTGGACCAAAGTCTCAATTGGATCACCAGACAGGGCGAATTCCGACCATTTGCCACTAATCCAAATCTAATCATTATACTCGATTTATCACTCACTTCTGGCCTAATCTCCGCACTGACACTCCTGTGGCCTGAGGCTGACTCCGCCCGAATTGCTGCCCTTTCAGATCACACACGACGCTGGGCGAACAATCTTGCAGTAATTCTCTCCAGTGTGCAAATACTCTCGTGATTTTGCACATGGAATACTGTTTGGTGATTTACATTCTGGGCATTGGCTCAAGTGATAAGGTTAAATTGAAATTTATCCCAAGAATATTTGCCATGACTCTTGTCTTAGGAATGTCTGCTCTTATCACTCTCTCAAGATCACCAGGGCTGAAGAAGGTTAAGAGGTGCTTTTTAATAATCTTCCAAATAAAGTTGACTTCCTGCTCGACAGCAACACACTGTCTAATCTTCGTCTTCCGCACTCTGTGTTCCAAAGCAGAGCAGAAGAACTTCCTCGCCAGACAATGTGTCCCAAGGGCACTTTGTAGCAAGAAAAGAACGAGTGATGAGTTGTAAATTCAATTGCAAATTATGTTTAGCATCTTCTTCGCAAGTTAAAATAAATTTAATAAATCTCCCCACCGCGATGGTTTGAGGGATGGCAAGCCATAATAACTTCCACCTCAACATGGTTGTACATGAAATCACTTTAGACACTTTGAAACTCATGAAAGTCATAATGTGATTTCTTCAAGTTCTCAATTGTCGACACTCTTGGCGTCTTCGCGGGATGAAATTTGCAGAGAGAGAGCGCGAAAGATTCCACGGAGATGTGCAACTGTCATCGGCGACCATCGCATTTCATTTCATTAAGTCATTTTGCAGGGCACTAATGAATGTATGGTTGCGCACAATATTTTGCACTTTCTCCCAGGCAAATTGGGCCAAGTGGAGGGCTGTGGGGGCGAACTTTCGCCATAGAAAGCACATCTGGGGTGGTGAGAGTGTGATCCTTCGGTGTGGAGTTTGAGAGGCAGAAATGCCCTCAGGCTATGAGGCTGAAGTGTGGTCGGATAGCTCGGTTGGCAAAGTAGGAAATCCATTCTTGCATAAATTTAGATTATAACTAAACAATAGGCAAACGTCTGAAAGTTCTTGGGTGCCTGTTCGTATACGGCAAGAATGGCCCAGCAGCCACTCTATGTATTTATTTGAGTGAAACTGTGCAGAATTAAACAGAGCAACGGAGCCTTGTTAGGTGTTCTCATGAGCCTCTTTCTCACTCTATGACCAACTTTTTCCCCCCTCACACACACCCCATCACGGAAATGTTTAATGCCGAGACTGTAAGACATCTCAAGGGTGGATTGTGGGAAATTTCAGGTGTACTGTGTTGAAATGAGTAAATATAACATCGTCTGCGCTAGCCTCCCTCAATTCCACCATCACGTGGATTACCCTCGATGCTTCACACCAACTGCCTGAGCCTTAAATTTATCGGAGACGGTGTCTGATTAGGTGAGATTGCATAGAACGGATTGGAAGCTATGAAATAGCCTGTAAATAATAATAGATTACACTCAACCAAGAATCTGAGTGAGAAATATGAACGCTGCAATTCAACGACCTCGAGTTCAACGCACAAAAGATTTTCCGACAGATAAAAAGAGAATATATTCCAGTTTAGAGATGAAAGAGCAAATAAATGAAATGCAATCTAGAGGCGGTGCATTTGAGTGGGCGGAGCTTGGATTAATGGAGTGATTCCCGCTTAAACAGAGAAATGTTAAATTTCAAACATGTCCTAAAAGAGTGTTTTTAGACAGGATGTTTTAAGTGATTCCACATTGTGAAAGAGAAGAAACGAGATTAGAGACTCAGTTTCAGATTAAACCATCTTTGCAGGTTATTCTACAGCTTCCTATCTACTTTTAACACATTAAAATAACCTCTGCAGATCGTCTTAAAATAACACATTTTAGCGATTCAAATTTGCTTCATGCGTAATTGGAATTTGCATTCTGTTTTTAACACAAATGGTGAATTTTTGACTCAGAATAGCAAAAAACTATATTTAAAAAATATAACAGATTTTTAACACTCCTTATTTGACTGGGAATCGGTCCATATTTCAGCCAAACTAACACAAAGGAAAGATTTATGCGATTGTGAAAAAACTGTCAAAGATCTGAGGCTGAGGTAGAGCCAGAAAGGGAAGGATGACGAGTAATGAGTCTTTTATATTATATTACCTACTGACTCAAAGGATAATGAATGCAAAGTAGCGGAGAAAATGCATAAAACTCTTCTTGTGAGCGCAATGCATATGCATTCATCCCCCATGAATGCTGCAAACAATTTCAGCCGCCTGATTTGCAGTCAGCTCACATGTCTATCGCCAACACATCCCCATGTGTGCCATATTCAGTGTGGTTGATGCCATTAAATATAGAGGATATTAAGTGAAGTCGTCCAATGAGATCATGACGGGAGAGCGAGAGAGAGCAAGTCCAAATGTGTCTGGAGGAGCATATTAAAGTTATATGAGTTGCCAAATGAGGGAAGCGAGAGAAAACCACCCACTCACCTGAAATTCCATCATGTGTCCACCAACTCTCCCACGAAACACCTCCAACGAAGCTACCTGCAAAGAGAGTAAGAGGATGTGGTGAAAAATAACTCTGGCAGCATTAAAGAGATAAGCATTGTTACATAAATATTGATTCTAATGCCTATTTGCTCATTTGTTTGCCGTGAAAATGAATTATTCAGCCGCAGAAGCTCCGCGCTCACTGGGAGGAATTTGCTCCCATTCAGGCTCCCAAAGTGGGAGAGCTTTTTGCTGGGCCGAAAAACGCGCCGAGGATTTCTCTCCCACGGCACTTTTGCTCAAGCTTTAGCTCGAGAGGAGGAAATAAAAACAACAAGGCGGATGGGAATTTACGTATTTCGGGTGGAATCAGTCATTTAGGGTGTGAGATGAAAATCCCACAAGAGATTATCTTCGGGAAAAGTTCAAGCGAGAGAAGAGAGACTCTTTTCACCTGGAATGGATAAAGAAATGGCGACAAAAGCAACCAAATACAGCTGCAAAAGTGTTGGAAACTTTAACTTTTTCCAGGGTTAATTCAGCATGCTGTATAAATAGGCACGATAAATGTCTCATTCTCAGCCCTCACATTAATCCACTTTTGGGGATTCTTTGCCACCTTCATTCCATACATTCTCGGCATACCCAGAGACTTTGTTTATATATATAGAAATAGTAAGACTTCTCTTCGAGTAATATCATTTTTATATGAAAAACTCATGATCTCTGCGGTGTTGAACATGTTTAATATGTAAAAAGAAAGCGGGCAATTTGAAAACAAGTTTGCCTGGCTGAGAAAAAGTTTATCAATGCAGAAAATTTTCTCGAAGTGATACTTCAGTCTACAAGTTTTACAATTTCACATAAAATTTATACGAGAGATGGAAATATCTCAATGAAAGTGAAAAAGTTTGAAATAACTCAGGAGAATCTCGACAGGAAGCGTTGAAATAGATAAATATACGATTCTAGCGATTGTTTTACAAATTTCCTCCAAATATTTTTACCCTTCTGGGGGTGTCCGCTTTTTCACATTGTGACTGACAAGGATATCATCTTTATATGGCCCATAATGAAATGACTTTTCCTCCCCAAAGAGGTCAAATCTCTGTGAGCAAGTCGGATTTGATGGATGCACGGTGAAGTCTCGCATCGAATGGGCTCCATTTATTTACAACACCACAAAATACTGGACAGAATGGCTTCTCCAACCCCCCAAGATTAGGCATGTCACGTCCCCGGGATCAGCAGACATGGGTGTCTTTGTGGCAGAAAAAGACGCCGATGGGAATTCCATCACCATCCGACTCAATCACACCCCACTTTGAGCCACTATCATGAAAATAATATGAACTCTTTTCACACAATATCAACTTTCTTTGTCTCCCGTGCCCACCACCCACCCTCTGTCACCCCAACACCTGCGCTCCCCTGCGACCCCCGCACGATCAAGCCACAGCGAGAAAGCTCACTCGTCATCTGGTCCGTCATGTTGGCCTTATTGAGCGGAATATCCACGCACAGAGCATAATATAGCACATATTGATCAATGGCAAATGTCTTTCTCGCAGCGATTTGACGAGTCAGCACCGCATTTATCACACTTCGCACATGAATTTGCATACAAAACACACTTCAGCCACTCCGGCAGGAGCTTTAAGTGATTATGACGTCAGATGAGAGAACTGAAATGCACAGGAAGTGGACGATGGACTTTCGCCTTGTACGCTTTCGTGACCTGCATGGCATTATTGCTGAGGCAATTGAGACCCAGAGCAGACGACAGAGGGTGAAATGGGGTGAATTTCGGGGTGAAAAGCAGCGCCAATAGGACTGACACGGTGGCTTAATATGTTATTATTCAAATTTGATCTACGACATTTCGAGGTGAGAGTCAAAATATATAATATTCACATGAGAAAAGTTGAGAATCATTGGAAATACTTTTCCTGGGCTTGAAAATTCCTCTGCAATTGTCATTGTGAGTTACTTCAAGTCAGTTGCAGTTGAACAATTGAAGGTAATTTCACGCAAACAACATGTCAATTTCTATCAACCGAAAAGTGAATAATTTGTGGCATCGAAGGAGAATTTCTGTGTGTGTGAATTTTGACGAATGTCTTCGCTTTTGTCGCAATTAAGAGCACGTTAGTGGAGAAAGCATTCATAATGCAAAGTGTAATTATGTTGTTGGAGGTAGAGAGAAGCATATCTTAGAGATATCTTAATCAAGGAAAGAAACAGCGCAAGATGCTTTGCGTGTGTGTCTCCCTGTTAGCTTAGCAGTCTTACTGCACTTGAGTAAGTTAAACAGGATACGATAAGTTTAGTTTATTCGAAAGTTTTAATGGCGTGTCTCTGCTCTTGACAACTGCTTCAGTGGAAGCTAATTTTCCCCAGCTTTAAAGCGCGAAGTGGGCGAAATGGTATGTCTGCTGGTGCGGTTTGCGTGCGATTGAATTTGGGGAATTTCAGCGTCTCCTCTTCTCACCCTGTGCGGAGTTTTCATTGAAAGGTGGCTCTTAAAATTCACTGCGTCTCCATTGAAAAGTCTGCGCCATGCAAAATGTGACCATAAACGGGCTGTAATGAATACAGCCGGAGAACGTGGCCGCCTAAAGTGCCATTAACATCTGTCTCACCTGTCGCAAAATCTTACATTTCACGTGGAATAAATTAGTCATCGGCGAGGGCTCATAATTAATATTTTCCGGCTGAAGAGTTTCCTGTCGAGGGGGTGGCAAAATTGATTGTTGCCCGTCCGCCGGTGAGACAGCAACACCTCTCCGCACACACACAGGTCCGTCCGGAAGGGTAATGGATGGCGCGGAATGCGGCGTTGGGGCGCTGGGGAGAGCCAAAGTCATGCGACACATTTTTCTTCGCCTCCATCTGCCACTTGGGCGCCTTCCGACTCCGCAGGGCCGCTGGGAGTGCAGCGCGGAGGAGCCTCTTAAATGCAGAAATATGACCTTTCGACGAGAAACACGCCGCGCAATCCGCCCATCTCAAATAAACTACTTTTATTGCTAAATCGTGATGCCACCGTATTTCGTGGCGTCGCTCGTTGTAATGCTGCTTAAAGTGCAGCCAAGAGGTGGAAACTTTTGCATCAATTCACCAGCTCTTTATACGATCATTTCACACCGAAAGAGGGACTTGATGCTCCTGCAGAGCATTAACTTTATTCCACTGAAATATCACAACTAATGAGCGCTTTCTGAGAATTGATTTTTAACACTAAATTTGTTCACACAGCCAGAAATAACAGAGAATCTCTCCTTATGGATCTCAATGCTGTTGTTTTGGATATAATTAATTATGTATACAAAATTTATATAAATGCAGCAAAGTTTTAATTGAATAAACTCAATCCAAATCCTCATAAAAGTTTAAAACTTTGCACTGTAGCATTATCACAAGCAGAATCAATAGCGAAACTTGACATTTTCCTTTGGATTTTGTCAGAGAAAAAGCTGCGATGAATTATTTCTTTTAATAAATTTTCATTACACCTCACGCTCTAAATTTACTTGCCATATTGATTGAAATTGCTTAAAAATTTTCCTTTTTTAAACATATAAAAACACTAATAAAAAATATAATTAATTATGAAATTCATTTTGAAACCAACGCCAAAACCAAACAAGAACCTAAATTATATAGTTTTTAGAGAGTAAAAGAGTGAATTTTGGGAAAACCGAGGAAACGCAAATAAAAAATTATATTTAATTTGATTTTATATCAAGAAGAGAAAGTGTAGCATTCATACGATGATAACTTGATAATTTTTTAAAAAGAATATTTGAAAATTATGATGAAAAGACAAAAAACTCATGCAATTTCTAAAAAATACAGATTTAATAAAGATAATTTGTTAATTCAATTTGTTTATAAAGCGAGAGAGAAGAAATTTGGGTTGAAAATTTTGCCAAGGTTGAGATTTGATCGAGAAATTCAATTCGAAACATTCACGTAAAATGAATTTATGAGCTGAGTTAGTCTGAAAAGCAAGGAAAACGAGATTAAAAGTGCTTGCTCTTAATTTTCTCACCACGCTTTCCCACTTTAGCGTCCCCAGGTGGCATCATGATGCAGAAATGCCGTAAAGTCTGGTGGACTTTTTAATCTATTTATCGTCCTCCCGCCAATATGTTACGTATACGCCAAAATTGTCACATGCGCTGCGATGGCGTGAGGAGGAAAAAGGATGGTGAGATTAAAATATGTGTGGAAGAGAGCGCTATTGTCAGTCCAAGATGATGTGTGCCCGTGACACTTCTCCATGAGGATCACACCACAGAGTGCCACTCAATTGTTCACTCAAATAATATGAGTATTTTGCAATTTAATTCAATTTCACATCCGAAATGCGACACCTTCTCCGCTCGGAGCGGCAAGACAAACAGGAAGTGATGACATTTCAGCACACGATGGAGCGGGAAACCAATTTTTTCCACGCCCCGGATTGTGTGTGGCGCCGAGGAAAGTGAATGAAAAGTTGAGTGGGTGGGACGGAAGAGGAAAATATGTGGAGGAGAGGCGAGAAAAAAACACAGAGAGAAGACGATGAAGCGTCAAAGAGCATTTCCCTTGAATTGATTTCGAAATAAGATTGACAAAGTGAGATGTATTAGCCGAAATTGTCATTCACCAATCACATGGAAAATTGATGATTTCCGATGGTGATGCGGCAAAACACACACCCTTCCAAACACACACACACACTACATATGAGAAGTTTTCCATGAGGAAAGCCAAGAATGTTGGACGAAGAAGCCAGAATACATGCAGGATTCTTCATCTTGAGCAGAATAGAGTGGTTACAGTGCAAGATTAAGGCTGAAGAGACACTTTTGTGGCATTGTTTTGAACTCTTGTTGTCCTGGAAAATACCTGGGAAAGCCAAATGCGTCTTTCCTTAATTCTGGACATTCAAGCAAAACTTTCAGTAAAAAGAGGGATTGAATCCGCCTCTTTCTCACACATTCACCCCTAATCAAATACCAAAACGTATTGATATTATAGACATTTTCAAAGAATACGACGAACTT